ACGTTTGGACAACCTCAGGCAGGGGAAAAAGTCATAAGAAACAAGTTATAGCGACCTAAGCTTAAGAGTAGTCTTAGACTCTCTAGAGTAACATTTTGTCAATTATAATCAGCATGAAGAGAACCTTATCATCCTTTTAAAACATCCGTGTCTCAAGACAGGGAAGTAGAGACTTCACCCAAGAAAATGTGTATGTTCGAGATCGGAGAGGACCCCAAACACCCTAGCAGAAGTCGATTCTGGTTACACGATTTTATTTTTCAAACTAGTATTTATGGAAACACTCCCGCAATGGCATTCAAAGACAACTTAAATAATACGACTTTGTGTTCTGCCATTAATTCTCTTCCGGTCATGCTTCGTGGTCCCAATTAAAAAATATCAACAAACAAAAGATTAATGCACAGCAACAATATCTACTCGTAACAGATACTGCGACCAACCTTATCAAATAATACCTATACCTAATCAAATAATACTTTGAGAAATATAACTTGATGCCAGGACAAGAAAAATGCTGTGATTGAATTGATTGATCATGTAGACGTAATTGCTATAATACGCGGAAAACTTTCCTAACGAAAAGAAACCATAGCAACACGTTCAATAAACTTTGTTCCTAATTATCATGGCAAGTTTGACTCGTCCGTTTCATAAAGAGAGGCGAGAATGTTTCAAAGAATGAGAAGTTGTGATAAATATATGAGTTATATGGTTTGAACCTAGTAGTAACCAACGGGGCTCCAGAATGTTGAAGAAATTGAAGCAATTTATGGTTATTCAAAGATGATACTTAGCATCACACAGGACGCCCGACATCATCAATCATTCGTAACCATTGAAGCGGGCAAACTTGAATGGTTTGTGAAATTAATTGTCAAGTATTTGTTCTGCAAGGGGGTATGTAAGGGATTGCATTGTTTGGTGTAATAATAATGAATGCTACTCGAAAACAAAAGTAATCTTTGAAGAGCATCGGGAACACGGCCTGTCTTGGACAAAAACATAATCTTCCTAATTGGAATCGATATGTATTGTATAGATTGAGAATTTTAGACTGCTAAAATATAGGTTCAGTATGAGGGATGAAAATACGTCTTGATACAATTCGTGTCACCTTTTTCTGGAGTAGGACAACGCGTTGCAATGCATTCCTTGAAAGAAAAAAAGAAGGCCTGATTGTGGGTTAACTTCAATCCTGACAGGTAGTGTTTTTTTCTTTCCAGCAGCTAATTTAGCTTAGTCAGAAGCTGGAAATAACCAGAAACGGGATTAAAACTGATTCTCCTGGACGGATGGATGATTCAGAAGTCAGAAATGAAGGTTTTTATGTTCATAAATTCATAGAATAGTATCAGTTTTACTCATAATTATCCCTTCCAAGTCGTTAATTATGTTTATGAAATATGGCATTAGGAGTTATAATTATTGCGGCTCTTTTTAAGTCACATTTTTTTTTCAACTGATGTTTACTTGTTTTGTAGCCACCTCTAGTGATATAGCATTTGAACAGGCTCCTGTCACTGAAATCCACATACAGTCAATATGTGGTAAAGTGGGCACAGAATGGAGAGATCTGGGTACAGTCTTACGGCTTGAATCAGCGTTGATGAATATTATTGAGGCTGATCTCAGCGAATGCCGTGAAAGGGCACGGAAAGTGCTTCAAAAGTGGAAACAAAAAAACGGAAATAGAGCAACAGTTGGAATCCTTATAAATGCTCTTAACGAGATAAATAGGAAAGACGTCGTCGAAAAACTGCTCGGTATGTAATCTCCTCTTGTGAAGAAAATCTCTCAATACTAGGTTTATCTAGATCTATTTACTTTCCTAACGAAAAAACTGAACACCTATGTAGGAAAAGATCTTCGAACGAAAGTCTTGGTGGCCTTGTCAAGGAGGCTTCATTTTAGATGAAGATCGCGCTGCGAACAGTTTTTATTGTGCCTTCCTTCTAGGATGGCCTGAGGCGCTATGTAGTGCTGTGTCGTGTAAGTTCATAAACCTTCCCCACGCCCTTCAAGGTTTTCAAAATGGTTTCACGAGACACTCATAAAGTCTCTTGTGACTCGTCCTGGTTCTGCTCCGACACTAGCCATCATTGAACGAATCTGATCGGGTTTCTTCGGATTCATTTTTGGTTTTGTCGGGTTTAGTTCGATGTTTGCTAAGGGTCTCATCTCTGCATTTTGACATTGGTATCGACTTGAAGGTAAAAGATATGTCTTCAAACGTTCTCACGTGTGCATTTTAATCTGAACACTTGAAAACATATCCTTTGAAGAAGAATGTAAATTGTAAGGAGAAAAAATTGAAAAGAAACCACAACAAAAGGACAACAATAAGTTGACGCGGCCAGGGCTCAAAGCTTACGCTCAAACTTTCGGACTCGAAAGGAGTAAGTACATCCATCGTGCTAGGGAAGAATGGCGTGCGAATGTTAGCGAAGTTTTGTATATCAATACATTTGACGCACATTAAATATATATACCTATTCGATTAATTTACCTGCCCTCGGCCTGTAAATTTACAGTGTACAAACTCTATTCTATCCAAATCCTCCTTTTGTCAAAATTTTGGCATTGACAAGAGCTTTTCATTAACACCTTTACATTTTGTACCACGTTGCTCTTTTTACTGCAATACTCTACAACTGTACAACGGTAGGCACATGCAGTGCACCAAGAAAGTGGTATCTAATTAAACGTAGCCTTAAGTTAAAGAAAACCAAAGTTAAAGCAAATGGAATATTTGCTTGCAGAAGGTAATAGGTTGTGAGGTCCATCGACGTGTCTGCGCACAGTCTCTCAGGTTGTAGCATTGTCGTGGAAGCTTAAAGCCCTTAAACTCGAGTTAGATCTCCTCAAATAATTGAAGAAATTGAACTAGTCCATCACTGCAATTGCATATGCCAACATTTGAGTAATTGTTAGGGCAATGTTAACGGCTTGTAAAGCTAGCAACCTGACTACCGTGTACATCTGCAAATCTTTTGCCTCTTTGCATCTAGGAACGGGAAATGTGAAGAAAAGGTTAAGCTGCGCTCGGGCACTAAGTGGGAATTTACAGAGAAAACTGGAAAATTAATATTTCGGGAAGGTTCTTTGTGTAAATATCCAAGGATAGAGACAAATTTATCGCGGCTCGAAATTTTTGCGAAGTTAAAGTACTACAGCAGGGGCTTAGAGCCTGAATGTAGCGAAAACAATAGGACAATAAAATGCCAGTGCAACCAGAAATCGTATTTTAACCCAGTATTAAGTTACCTTCCTGAAAACTTTTTACTTTATTATTTAAGAAAGAGCTTACTGTAACCTTGTTACCTTCGGTTAACATTTGCAAATTTCCTTCCACTATCTAACTAGATACAGAAAAAGTGGAGGCCGGATTGAGCTCCGTTCGAATTGCAAGTGGAAATTTACGAAAGGACGTTAAACTTTTAAAGGAAGAAGTACAAAACGTGCAACGGATTCATGAGGAAACACGGAAAGAACTCAAAGAATTAAAAGAAATCGTGTACAAAATACAAACAGCAACGGGAGATGAAGAGCGGCAGCACATGGAAACTAGGGTGCAACGCAGAGAGACAACAATTGAACTGCTTGACGAGCAGGATCCAATGCAAAGATCGACTCGATTGGAAGAAATTTGCGGCAGGATTGACCAGGATCTGCGTGTTGTACAGGACAGCATCAAAATAGTCTCTGAAAACCAAAACGCGGTGGTTGGAATGTCATTCGAAGCCGGCAGGAATGCATCAGATGAACCAAATGAGAGCCAACAGGGGGAAACCACATCGGCAGATCCAATCCAGAGAGACACAATACGGAGGGATTGGCAGAACCAAAGATACAATGAACCTATTATACGACCTTTGCTTGACGGTAGGCTTATTCTACACAAATTATTATCAACCAAATTTGTAATGTTCTGTCCGAGAGACGTCGATGGAGTGAGATAAACGAAAACGAGTTAATTCGAATTAAAAACTTTCGTTTTAATTTCAAAACATATCTCTCAACATTCCTATGCGCATGTTCAGTGTGCACGAAATACCGAAATGCAGCATTCTCTGAACACCCATCTTAAGATTTCAACTGAAATTGGACGATAAATGAATCACTTAGTGATACTGTAGTTCGCTGATCCTTTTTTAGGTTCATTTAAAATTTTTTAGCACGAAGTTCAATAGATTATATGTCAATTATTTATGCGATCGTTGATTGGGTTTAAAACCTCGTCATTTTCGTCTTCATCTTTGGGTATAAAATAAGTTACCTTCGTTTTTTCTCTAAAGTGTTCGATAGAGATAACTGTGAACGTTATTTTCTTACAGATGTTGATCGAATACCGGCCTAATTTTCCTTGTTTCGAAAACATAACTGAATTTATCACCGTTAGAAGTGATGATTTCTATGTCGTCATAGTGACTGAGCCTACTGGCATCGCGGTTTTACTCACGAAAGTTTTACATTTTAATTTTTCAATTAATACCGAGGTCAAACTCAACTTTTGTTAGGAGAATGTTTAAGTTATGCAATCTCTGCAACACGTTTGCTAAACGATTTGCAGGATTTCCAGGATATGAAAAGGAACTCAACGAAGTGGAAGGAGAAAGAGATTCACTGAAAACCAAATCTGGTAAATCAGACCAAACGAACCAAAGACAACTGGAGAAGAAAAGAAAGTTAAAAACAAATAATAAACAAGTTAAAGAGGAAAGAAACGATACCATTGAACCAAACAAAACAATGGTGGAGCAGATTCAAAAGCTTGAAGCCGAGAAAAAGGAGCTCGAAATGACGTTAAATGGTCAAACCGATCTGAAGACTGAAAATAAAGAGCTGTCGACTCAAATAGAAAGGCTGACAAAAAAAGCAAACAACTCTGAGTTTGAGTGCAAGCGGCTACAAGAGGAGCTCAAGACGTACATAAATTACCAAAGTCGTAAGTACACGAAAGAACTTTTTGAAAGATAGTATTGACTTTCCATCTTTGGCCAATCTGTTTTAGTATAAAGTGGTACAGCCTTGCGCTCTATTTACGTATCTGTCATATTAGCTTAGGTTTTTCTTTAACCCCTTCTTTCCCGTTAAGCACATTTTTCGCTGATGTTGAATTATATACATATGGGGAGGGGAGGCAAGATATATATTTTTTTTCTTTTAATGTTATCTATCTTACTTTCGTTTCCACTTAGGCGTTTTCTTACCAGCTGGAAAGGAATTTGCCGGCATATGCACTGGTGTCATCTGCTTCCTAAAACAAAGATTGAGAGATGCACCCTGCGCTGAACTGATTGCATCCAGATCCTCCGATGGCCCTGGAGATGGGGCTGACGTATTAAACCATAAGATGGGCACCGTCAGTGGGACAGAAGGAAAGAAAAATTCGTGGTGGTCTATTGATCTGGGCTCAAGCCATCGGCTTGTGATCACACACTACGCTTTAAGGCACGGCAAAAGAGAAAAAGAGTCACTGCTAACCCAGTGGCAGCTGAAGGGATCAAATGATGGGAAGCACTGGGAAAACATTGAAACTATTCACGACAAGAAAGAACCACAGTTCAAAGACCCTACTCCATTTTGTACAGGCAAATGGTCTGTCAAAGGGGAAATAGGGCCTTTTCGTTTTTTTCGAATTTTCCAGACAGGTGTTAATTCCTCTGGCAAATATGGAATATACCTATCTGGAATTGAGTTCTACGGAGTACTTCTGAACATGTGTGAGCTAGGAGCTATGGAGGCTTTATCCTATAAAGTTT